CCGTGCTCATTTTTGGTTATGAATATAAAGCCCAACGATAACGCTAATTCGCCAATAAGACAACAACTGATCGATTCTGTCAATGCGTTTTTTATCTGGATCCACTCTCTACTTCAAAACAATGGATTACTTTACAAAAGAGCCTAAGCTCGCTTCCGATACGCAAATGAATGCAAATGGCTAAACAAGATTATTGGAATTGGCTCTCTAATAAGCAACGTTTTGCTCACGACTCTGACTCTGACACAACTGATAAGACTCTTTGCGATGCGGCCTATTAAACCCACACGAGCCTCCATAGCATCAACTTTGCCTCTGTCCAAGACGCCTAACAGCCTTGATATAAGGTTAAACCTTACCCCCCGAAAACCTGTTTCATATCATCTTTAAGAAGGTGGCCGACGTACTTATCGAGCCTTTGCCCATAATGTTTACAGTCTTTTCAAAGCGAGTTATACTCTCAGTCTTTTACAATTGATTGTATTGTAACCTCATTCTACAAAAGAGACAGTGTTCGACTGCTGAAAACCACTGCCTCGTTGCTCAGGAGTTTATATGTTGTATTGTAATGAACGACATTATCGTAGCCTATCTATGCTAGTCTGGACTTTTCGATCCAAACTAACATAATCTTGCTAGAAAGAAGTCTACCTGCACTTAATTATCGGAAGTTCTTAAATGCATCACTAGGCAATTGTTAAAAATGCGCTCCCTAGCATTTATTTTGATTTTTTTCCCTGAACTTGGCAAATCACGATCTATTAATGTCAAAGATATCTATTCCTTGTATATGTTTCAGACTGACAAACTGCTGTCCTGCAGATCTTGCGGATTGCTCATGCAAAGTGCAAATCGAACACTGCCTGTCAGCCTGTTCGATCACACCCTTAGGAGAGCCGTAGGGCTTTTGTCTAAGCCCCTTCTATACATCACATTCTATCAGGGTGTCGAGTTTTTATTCAATGGTGTCCCTATCAAATATAACGTATACGGGCGTGATGTAAAAATCTAAATCAAGCTAAGCATAACAACAGATGTGCTTACAGTCCAGCATGCTATGGGTTTGCTTGCATCCTGGCCGAGAATCAGCCAAATGATGTTATCTATATCAAAATTACTAAGACTACTCCGAATGACGCCGGATCTATATTTTCTGTACGGAGATCAGCTGCCTTTTTTCTTTTTTCTCATACGCCTCTTGCTCATAAGAATACAAATATTTGACAAAGCCATATGGACCGTTTTCTATGAAGAGTAGTATGAACACGTGATCTCCTCCGCGAGTTCCTTGCACCTCTTCACAAAAAGGACACTTGGAACTTATATATATAAAAAAAAAAAAAATTTCCTAGCAATTTCTTTAATTTCGTCGGGGCTTGTCAATTCGCACTTCAGAGGTAGCCACCCTTATCATGTTTCTAAAAATCATCCACGAAGAACCCGCTCTAAACCATTATAGGATAACCAATATCTAAACCCCTCAAATGAAAGACTGTTTTGTGTTCCCGGCATCTACTTATAACCGAATCTGCCAAAACCGTTGGCCTGAAAATAATAAGTTTGTATTTCCAATGTTGACATCATAGCTTGTCTCCAATACACCGTGACATAAGGTATAACAACGGATCGGTAAGAGTCAACTATCTACCTTACAATCAAATGTTTCAATTAAGATATTATTAATTGGCACTCACAGTTCCCCTATATGCTGATACTACAATGTGAGTGTGACAGGCAGACCATTTATATGAATTTTTACAACTCTCAAAACTCGAGTAAAGTCTTCACCTGCGTGATCGCCTGACTTAAGTTCATGTACTGCGTATTTTCGTTAAAAAAAAAACAAATTTACACAAGGCGTTACTTTTCATGATCAGCATTTGATCTTTGTTTTCGGCACTGCATTAGGGGGTTTTCTCAGTTCCACCACTGCCACCCATCAAAAATATCTGTTGTATCCGAGGGCTAAAACAACTGAACACTGTTTCAATGTTCTTTAACAACCCCTAACCTCTTAAGCTTGTTGTATTTTAACAGAAATAAGAATTTCTGAAACAATAGTAAATCCACTGCTGCACATACGTTTGAATTAGGGTTATAGATGGGGTGCTCTCCAGTGTATACAAGCTCTGCTTGAAGGCGGGTGTGAAGAAGATTCTTTTATCAATCGTTTACGGTAGCCTCTGTGAAAATAAGGAAACGACCGATTTTCACCCACTAGAAAAACTAACCGTTGTTTAGCGGAGTTGTGTGGAGTTCCCCGGAACCGTAAAGGCCAGCAGAGTAAATTATAGGGAACAAAAAAAAACGAATTTTCTATTAGGATCACACGTTCCTACTTGATGGACAAATCATATACGTCCTAGTTCTTATTAAAAAGAAATGTATATGTATCCCAAAACTTCCCTTTTGCATCAAACAAGTAAATGTGTTACGTATTTCATCTACACAGAACTTGATTTTGTGCGAACTAGGCATTTAAATAATGAACTAGTAGTCTCAACAAATTTCCCACTCTCTTTGTCCTAACAAACGGAAAACCGTTTTATATTCCCTACACTTAAATAGAACGAACATTTTTCAAAGAATTTTACAGTGGCAGGGGAATGGATAGCCTAGTAGCAACAACTATGATAGACATATACAATTCGTGCGTGAACAAATGTTAAGGAAAAATGCAAAAACATTGTTTAATGTTAACGCCATAAAGTGTGGAACAGTTATGCGACGCCATACCATGCCCTCGAGTAGGAGGTGCAACGATTTAGCTTGTTCTAATAGAAATACTAATTGCTATCTTTATTTGTATGTTCCCCGAAGAAGGTATAGATATACATATATATATTAGCGAGATCAATATATTTTTCCGAGACGCCCATAGTCACGGATAAAATAGTTTTTGGCACACTGAAGGTCTTTTGTCGTCGGTCATTGCCACATTGGCATTCAAAGCTGTATGAAAGGCGCTTAGGCGAAGCGTCACAAGTATCTGAAATGGTGAAGATAAGCAACAACGTCAGCTAAGAGCTTTGTTAGCGCGGGCAATTCAAATGTGATTACTTCACAAAATGAAGCGGCTCTCTTCTGTCAAAACAGGGAGCGTTTCGAAGTCAAGCAGATTTCAGCATACGATATCATTAAAATCGCTAAATCTAAAAAGCTCTGAAGGAGCTCTTGAAAAGTTCTTAGTCGGCACGACATATACCGCGAATGGATCTTTAGTTTACCAATGGAAATATTGTAGTTGACCTGTGCCGCACGCTAGATCAGACAGGCTGTAAACGATATGATGACTAAAATCCAGGAGTTTTGCATCGTTGACTTCAAGCTGTTCATGGCCGAAGTTCGCTTCATACAGTTGAATAAATGAATAGTTTACTTCACGAAAATCTCTGCAGTTCAAATCTTTATAAACACCCGCCACTGGATTTCTCAGAACGAAAGAAACTGCGTAATTGGAGTGACCTTTCATCAACAGGCTCTTCACGGTAGATTGAATGAGAATTACTGTCTCTTTAAATGAATTGTACAAAGTGACGCAAAAGAACGCCTCGCTTAATTGCAAAGCACTTTAAGGCTACACGAATAGTAACTTGTACGTTGAAGGTGGCATAACTCAGAATCTACATGGGATAACCTTTATTCACCCGAACTTCGACCTAACAATGACTTGACGTAGATAGCTATCCAAGGACTGGTTGGTTACTATTACCTGTACTAGCAAAACTTTATCAAAAAAATTCACGCAGTCGATAAGCTAGATATTCGCAGACTAACTTATAATATTCGCAGATTTCAGTTAGGCTGTGTTCTAATTACTGCGAAACTTACCGAAAAAATGATGTCAAATATTGCAACCGCTTATTTGCTTAGTTTTCATTCTTAATACACGACAATGAACCATGGAGCGGGTTTGTAATAATTTTCATCGATGAGCTTCTACAAGTTCTCGATCTTCGTAACGTTTACCAGGCATGACCATCTCCGCTTTGAATATGCAGGGTACATTCAAGGGTCAACTAAATACAATTACTGAAATATTAGTCGGTCAAATATATTTATTCAAATCAATTAGATAGAGACAAATCAAAAGGAACTAACAGTAACAGCACACGTGCAATAATTGCACATATATTTTTAAACATTTAAACACATACATATATGCCACAAGCTAAGTCTAACGGTTACAGAGAATCAGTCAAAATTTACGTTGGATGCCTAGCGCGCCTGCGCTGTGTGGACGTAATCTGCTGTCGGCCTTTCGTCTCCAAGCTGCGAGCCTGCTAACTAGAAGCGTATGATCTGGCTTGAACTTTGCACAGACTATCCGAACACGGGGTATCGTCAATAGAGTTGTCCACCTAGTTCTGCGCTTCTTTGCCGTGCTGCTTTTGCCGTCTATTAACAAAGATACATAACAGAATTTCCTGTTTGTTGGTGTCGCTGTTGCTGTTCTTGTTGTAGTATCTCACGTTAACGTTGTCAACTAAAAACGGTGAAATTGTCATTAAATATTAAAATTTTCCATTTGTTGAAATTTCGAGCGTCAGCTATGATTTGTAGCAAATGCTTACAAGACAGACTCATGCCGATTCGCCTTTTGCAAAGTTCTTATCGTTATTACTAGCGGATTAGCATCCCTTACAGTGCCTATATTTATCATGCTCCATCATTCAACGCTACAAGCAAGAAATCTATTTTACTATTTGCAACAGAGAAATTGGAGGCGCGAAGTAAAAGCTAGAAAGACTAGAAAGCTGTGGCTGCAAAGTTGAGGGCGCGTTCCGTGACAGTATCGAGCTTCAAAACTGTAGATAGTACTTCAAACCGAATGTTGGCTAAGAAAAGCGCAGAGATCAAACAGCCATTTCGTGGTCCTGACTCAGCTTACTATTAAACTGGACCACAGTCACTTTATAAACCATCTAATCAAGTTACAATTGTTACTGTCTAAGTCAATTGTAAACTTTCTTTTTAAGCTTGTTTATTCTTTGCTGCAGGGTTTTACGGCAATAATCGACTTGATGATACCTACCGACCGCTCGAAATCGAACAACTTGCTTGCAGGACTCGTTGTTGTTAGATGACTCGATCTTTACGAACTCGGTAAGACTTCTTCACAAGTATTGAATACGTCCTTTTAGGTAGGCACCTAGGAAAAACTTATGTGAATTTGACTGTCGATGTATGGGCGCTTAATATTAAACAATACACTTCCACTATAATTCGTCGTTGCTGGCCACCTGCGCCGTGGCTTTGCTAGCGTGCTTAATTCCGAAATGACGTTGTGAACAAAAGGCGAATGAAAATGTGTGAGTTTGCTAAAATGTTATGAAACTGATAGCGAGCACTGGGCAACAAATCCTGGTGATAAGCAAAACCTTGCAGTCAAATCATTTCCACATAGGTGCCTGTAGGCCTTATATTCGGGCAGACACAAGCTAAAAACAAACTGAGGAGCCGTAATGTGATAATATCAGTGTATGGGTGTACACGAAAAGAGATACAAATATATAAATTATGTATGTTAGAGAGGGTAACGGCTTAACTTACACCGAACAATCGTTATAGCTTGGCTAAGGTATCCGGCAGTGGTAACAGTTGATTTGCAGTTGGCAAGAAAGAAGGCTTCTCCCGGATCTAGTTATTATATTTTGTGTAAGAGGCCAGTTACAATTGCACCTCTGTATTCAATTTCATGGCTAGTGGAGGGAGTGAGTGCGCTTACGTCATTAAGAAAAACATCTAATAGTCACAGTAATATGCCAAGAGGGCATCGGACTGTGTGCATGCTGACAACGTACAGTATAGCACGCATTGTCCAGTTAAATAAAAGATCTTGTCGTGTGGTATAAAAGGTCAAATCTGAGCTGTCACTCAGCCATCTTGTCGTTTTTCTCTATTTTAGCGCTTCTAAGACAGGCATGTTTGACAGTAAAAGATTAGTTTAGAAGGATACGTTTCATCGATAAGGAATGCTTTGTTATTCAAACCAAACGAACGCGAACGTAGAATATTTTCGAAAGCAGAACGGAGCCGTCTACTACTCCACCGACTTCGAGAAGGAAGACAATGTGAAACCTGTTACGACAGTAACGCTTAAGCCCGCTAGAGTGCTGTACAGAACTTAAGGCACACACAAAGAATGCATTGCTAGAGACTTCTATTTCATTGTGAGCACCTATCAGTGGACGTATTACGTACGAACTACTTTGACGGTTCTAATTAACTCGCTGGAACCTGAGTTACCTTGACTTACGATGTGGCTTACCTTTGGGCGTTCTGTTACGTGCCAACATAGCCAATGGAGACTTCGCCCTTTACACGAATAAATCTAACAACTTAAGTGACTTTGTTTTTCTTTTTATAATCACTTTATTTTTGAGCTGAAACATGCTTTCCATCTACATAATAACATCGTGGTGTTAACACTGCATGCGACTTATTTACAAAATCAAGTTACCGACAAGTTAAAAGAGACAGCTTTTTGTTTTCGGCACTGACAAAGCGACCTTTGGATTCGTTGCCTTGCTCTATCGAATTATCATACCGTATGCCCGAAGTTGGCACTGCCTCGCATCTACGTAGTATACAAGCAAAAGTGTATTTTCGCTGTTCTCTATGTTTCGTGTATGTGGACCGGTAGAGTGCACAAGTTCCGAAGAACACGAGCTCTGCTTTGACATAAAAATACGCTGGCCAGCGTATCCCTAGCCAATATATTCATTTGCTCTGACTCAATTACCGCTAACTATTGTTTAGATTAAATCCGGGTCATTTGAAGCTAGTGCATCCAAAATTTGATTTCCAAGATAAGTATGCTATGACAAAAGTTGTAGTAATCGTTGCATCGAGTGGTCAATCCTTTACGGCGACGCTTGAAGTGTTCGTTTCGAATAGACGCACACCGCATCGTATCAAACAAAATAAGCGCAAATGCTATTAGGACTGGTATATGATCGCCGCCTAATGCTACGTTATGGATGCTGATAAAGAAGCTATGAGATATTAAACCGTTAGAAAGTGGCAGAGCGTTGTCATCTGCATCTACGCAACAACATCTGAGATCAGCAAGCCGATCGCCGAATGCGCCTGGCAGAAACTTAGTGGAACTATAAGATGGTCTAGCTAGCACATGGTTAAGACAATCTTCTAGTAACTAAATTATACCTCAAGGATACTTCTGCATTATATACTATTTTTTTCAAATCGACAGTATTAAGGCACGTTTATGCCTACGAAATAAACGCAGCACAGAAGTTCAAAAGCAGTACTATTTAAGAAATGTAAGGAGTCAGGCTGTATACGAACACATAATTCGCGCTATACGCCAAATATAATATACGAAGAAAACTTATTGTCATATACCTTTAAGTACTCTAAATGTTCAACACTATATATATAGTGTTGAACCTAATATGGTAAAGGTGTTAGGTATTTGACGATATCCTGACAAAAATAGGTTATCACATGTATGTACCTATGCGTGTATCGGTGTACTGTGCAATGGCGAAAGGTAAAACAAAACCCCGAACTCCTGATTCTTCACATCTTTTTCGGGTTGCAATTTTCTTCTTGCCTTCCGGCACAAGCCTGTGTTAGCAGTCTGTCTGCCTCTTAATCAGCATCGTACACTTTATACAGCAAGGCGCGTTCAAGCATCTGTCGGCATAGCATCCCACATGTATATTTTCGGGTACCGAAGAGGAAATTGACGAGTGACGCGTGAGTTCGTTTTGTGTGTACAGTACATCACAACTAGGTGTCACTCATGCGCCTCTGCCATGCCACGTGATTCAATAACGCTTGCAATCTCTATTGCAGCGCTGCTAACTGCTAACCACGTCTCTGTTTTTCGCGCTCGCCCAAGGCCCTTAGACGCGGGTTGCTTGGTCGGTCAGACGGTCGCCGCCTGCCTCAAATATGGATATCCTGCAGTAGAATCTTAGATTGCTGCTGTCCCTGTTACCACCTACTGTTACTGGTGATTATGTGACGGCTGTAGCTGACCATCCCGGAGCAGCAGTAGCAGCTCGGATATTCCTAAAGCCCCATAAAAACCTTTTTGGGGCGGTGGGGATGAGCGACCAAGCAAAAGGGCCGGTATTGTCATCCTTCTGTCAAAATGTCTGTGCTGTTAGACTCCAGCGTTGCTTTCCACATTGTTCTCTGCCCGAGAATGCCGCGAAAAAAGAGGACAGGATGGTTTCTTGCCGCGTACTTGCTGTTGCCGAACGGTCGAGGCGCGGGCTTTGGGATCTTTCTCTGAGGCTGTGCAGTGATTACACACGCACTCACGACCAAAATCCCTCGTACAGAAACTGTTGCTTATTCTGGCAATCCGAATTTCCCTTGCTGTTCAGAAAACCCACCAAATCCTGGTTGCTGACGTTGGCCCTCCACCCTTACGTCGCAAAGTCTGTCCCTTATGCGTCCCCGTGCTAAAAAGCAACAAGACAGCGGGGCATGGACGTAGCTAGTTCTCGAGGGATCTCTTCGTTTCTTGTTTCGCTCTTCCAATTTGGAACTCGCAAACTCAAGAACATTCGAATCGAGCCTCAATAGACCAACCGTTTGGCGGGCATATAAACTAAGAAACACCAATACAGTCACAAAAAACATTTTGATTCATCAGGCTCGTTTGCTCCAATCATTTATAAAACATACGGGTATCAAAAAAGAAACTACTTTGAAACAACGTAAGTGTGTCGTATAGGAATGACTGTGCGCAAAATGATACATATTGCTTTGAATACTTTTAGTTCCTGTCTAGCGACGTCATGTGGCGAGCTATGTGTTGAATAGCCCGACAAAAATGGAGCACGTTATGCGTCTCCCACAATACATGCAATGCAAAATCCTTATAGAAACAAGGCGTGATTGGAGACGTGGCAATGGCTTGAAAGAGCGTTACGAGTTGCGGATAAGCATCGGAACAAACAGGAGCTTGATGGGATCTGGGGGTATATTTTTAGGGAATATGCTTTTGGGCTGTCGAGGCGGCAAAACATCATTTGTTTGAAGTACTCGACGACGATTTGATCGTGAATGGAAGTAGGGGAATAAAGCGCATTCAAATCCGATTTCTCAATGGATCCATCTACTGCAATGGGACATAGGGAGGAGGTGAAAATGCAAGAGGAGAGAGAAGAACAACGGATTCGCGCACGAATCTTTTTTCCATCACCTTGTGGGGCATTTTCGTAGGGGCCGTCACAGCACCCGACTATCAAAACACTCTTCAAACCTCCTTTTTCCGGATTCACCTAGACATAATTTCGAGTTTGCCCATTCGCGTTCTGCTAAAAGTATTTGTCTGGTCAACATGCTCTACTTTTCTATGTGCACTCGAAAACAAATCGAAGCCTTTACTCTAGACCAAAATAAAGAAATATCGACAGCTGCCAAATGCCGCTTTATTCTGTATTATACATATACGTAGAGAGAGAGAGAGAGAGAGAGAGAGAGAGAGAGAGAGAGAGGCAGCATTACACAATATACGAAAAACATGATACGCTCCTTTTTCATGAAAATAGCTATATTAGTACATGTATACATTTCGAGTCATTATTTTAATTTTATTTAACATAGATATATAAAAATATATTAGTAATCAATAGGGAATTCAACGATGCCTTTTTAATGCAGTAAACCTACGGGAACACATTTTTACTGAAACAGTTCTAATTTGAACGCGCCTGTCAGTTGCCACTCCGTGCTATAGTTCACTACATTCGTATGGCGATCGGCGGATGTCATTCAATATAGCCACACACAAATCAAGTTCGTAAAAGGAGCTTAGTTAAGGTACATAATAGTAATTATTTACTGACGATAAGTTTAATAATACTCAATAATTTTGTTTACTTCTCTAGCTATTAGCTTTTTACAGCTACAAATCCAGCCAAAGCGAGTCACAGTATCGAGTTTGTTACACTCATTGATTAAGTCACTTAGTTAACTAGTCGACTATTAAAACCAATTCATGTTATTCATCGATAATTCGAAAATACGTTGTTTTGGAGACACACATTTGGTTATTTTTAAGCTTCCTATTTTTAAGATTTTTTCTATGCGACATAAAAAGTAATCGTAATAATTCGGTT